GCTGCTGGCCACCCACTCCCACCCGCGATCGCGCACACAGGCCAACCCTGGTCTCCCGTCTTGAGTTCACACGGTGGCCTGCCCGTCCCCCCCCCCCCCACTCTGGCATGCGGGCACACACACGCACACACGCACGCGAGCACACACACACACACACACACAGTCCCTCACACGCACACACTCTGGCTGTGCTTTTGTGTTTTGTCAGAATTAATGAGAAAAGTTCCCGTGCCCTGCGGGTAATTAGTGTCCTTGGAGTTAAATAAGCTAATGGCGGGCACCTCTGGCCCAAGCAATTATGTTTGTGTATTGAATAATTGATTCAAAGGGGGGGAAGGGCCGCTAATCAGATCTGAGCATAATGAATTGATTTAATTAACAGGGGAATCTGAGGGGCCCTGGGAAATGCTGCCTGCACTCTGCTGAAGCCGGTGCGGCCGGCTGCGGGAGAACCGGTGCGGCGGCTGCGGCGGCAGTGGCTTCGGCTCCGGCCCGGGGCAGCGGCCGCTCCCGAGGCTCTTGGGTCCCAGCCCCACCGGCCGCACCGCCCCCTCCCGGCGCCCCGGCGCCCGCCCTCCGCTCCCAGGCCGCGCCGCGCCCTCGCTCCCCGCTCCCGCGCTCCTGCCCGCGGGGCCGCGCTCCAGGCGGGCGCCGGTCCGTCCGCCCCCGTCGGCGGCCGCGGCACGCGGGGGCTCGGAGCCCACGCGGGGCCGGCGGGAGCAGCCTGAGCGGGCGGCGGCGGGGAGGAACTGCCCCGCACGTCTCTGCATCCTCTGCCCGCGTCTGGCAGGGACCTCGGGGGAACCATGGTGTTGGACCAGGAGGACGGTAGGTGCCCGGCCCGCGCGGTGCCCACGCCCGGGGACGCACAGGCGCGCGGTGGGCGGCGGCGCGGGCTCCGCTCACAGCGCTCGCGTCCCCGCGGCGGCGGCGGCGGCGCCCCCCGCCCCGCCCCGCCCCGCCGGCCGCCCCCGGCGCCTGCTCTGGCCGCTTCCCGGAAGCTCGGCGTCCGGCTGTGTGTGCGCTGGTGTGTGGGGTCAGGTCGTGGGTGCCAGGCTCGGGCCCTGGCGACCCTCCCCCGGAGGAGGAAGTGCCACCCGCACCCTGGAGCCCGCCAACCCCGCATCCGCACCCCCACCCTCTGGCCGGGAACTTTCTTTCTGGCTCTTGCGGCTTTGCAGGCATTCTGCGCATCTCTACGACCCGCGCTATGCTGTGGGCTTCCTGGGAGAACCCGTTGGCATTCCCATCCAGTCTTTGGGCCCTTCTGACTGTTTGCCTGCACCCCCTCCCCCTTTAGGGGTCCTCCAGGGGATGGCCGGGAGCTTGCGGTGAGGGTGCAGTCAAGCTACATGATCCTGGGGGGTCCCTCAGGTCTAGGGCCATGTAGCTGTGAGACTCCGCTCTTGCAGGGGTGAGGAGGAAACATGCCACCCCTTCACCCAGCTTGTGCTGGGAGGTGTCTGGCTCACTAGCGTAGTGGGTAGACCACGTAAAAGGTCCAAATACCAGGTCAGACAGAGGCAATTTCCCTTGAAGCCAGTGAAGTTGGAGGTTCTCAAGGTCCTTCCATTGAGAGGTTCCCTAGTGGTAAATTAGTATTAATAATCTCATCTCTCTCTTCTTAAAGAGCCACCACCCCCAAAACTGCAGTAAGCTTCGGTCTTCACAAAATTGTTTCCAATTAATGTTATTTCCATTGCTAGAGTCTGTGAAAACTCAGTTCCGGCTGGCCTGGAATGGGCCTCGGGAGCTGGGACAGTCCCTTAGTGCCTGGAGTATATATGTGGTGGACAAGAGGCTGGGAGATTTGGTGTTGTGGAAAGGATCTAGCTGCCAGGCCTTCTTCTCTGGCATTGTCCCGTGTCGACCCTATTAACAGTCTTGTGGTTGTCTACCGTTAGGAAATGAGACTCTGGCCTCCCTCTCAGGCTTTTACCTGAAATAAAAGTCTACTGGGCTGTTTAGTTCACTTTCTGCCCTTTCCTTACTTGGATACCCTCGTGACTCAGTTTCCTTACATAGATTATCCTGCTTTGCCTAGTACTGTGGGTTTTAATACTGACGGTCCTGCAGCATAGGTAATTTTTCAGTCCCAGGGCAGGCCTGGATCAGTCTACAGTCAACAGTTGTCTCAGAGCAGGGGTGCCTTGGCCTTCATCAAGGAGTACAATAGATTTATTTTCTGGGATGCAGATTTAACTTAGGCCTCACTCAGCAAGGCCTAACCGTCTGTAATAGCAGCTTCTGAAGACTGTGCACTCTAGAAACCTAGAGGGAGTTTGCCAACTGTGTGCTTCTTCACCCTAGCTGGCTGCAGATTCCTATGTGGTGCTGCTTTCGGTGTACAAAGCAGGCAGGGCGTGTGAACTTGGCTAGTAGGCATGCTGGTCCCACCGCAAAGATCAAGGACTGCAGGTTCATTTTCACTTGTAAGCTTTTAGTGGCCTCAGGGAAGGGACATTTGGCACCCTGATTCTGTCTCCAGACATCACCTGTGAGGCCCACCTAACACCTTCTCTTGGAGAGGGCTTCCTTGTGCTGAGAGCAGGGCCTTCAGATTGAGTCGCTTCCCAACAGCCTCCATAGAAGAGTTCTGGAATAGCTAGTCTTCTGGGCCTTCCGGCACTGGGGTCTTTCTTTCTCTCACTCCTACCCTCAAATGCAGGAACCTGTTCTCTGGACCTTTCTTCCAAGCTACTGGGACCTGCCCAGAAATTTGTGAGGCTGTGAATAGCACCCGCTTTCTCCTCGAAGTAATTTTGGGGGCTGATCCACTGGTGTCACCCTGCTGTCCCCAGAGGCATTTCAAGGGCATTTTGGAACACTCTTGGCATGTTGAAATCAGAGGACAGGCCCTTCACTTGTGGAATGTGCTCAGTGAAAGCTGCTTCTTCAGCCTCAGGGGAACTGAGGATTCCACTCCCAGGCTGTGGGTGTGTCCTGAGCCTCACCTGGGTGGGGGTGAGCATGGGGATGGGACTTCCCTAAGAGCTGGGGAGGAGGCTCATGTCTGGCTCTGGCAACCCTTCCTAGCTGAGCACTCAAGCAACTCAAACCCTCAGCGTCGAGCTGGCTGGGTAGCTGAGCAGACCTCCCTCTAGGTCAGCTTGTTGCTCCATGCACTCAGCTGGGAGGCAGAGAGCACCAGGCCCCTACTGGCATGCCCCACCTACTTCTGCAACCCATACCTTAGTATTCCTCACTTGGGGCACAGAAGTTGCAATTCACGCATGCCAGCCATGTGGCTGTTAATTGGGTACATTGGAGAATGGAGTGAATTAGTGCTAGGACAAAAAAATGTCCAGACACAGTACATGGACAAGAGAGTAGGAAAGTGGTCCCAATCTTGCTTTGTGGGTCCTGAGGATAAGAAATGGTCCTTGGGGGGTCAGGTGTCAGGTTGCAGCCTCGATTGGAACAAATAGGTTAGAAAGGCTTCTGCAGCAAGAAGCTGCCCTTGCCAGGCCCCATACTTGCTACACTGACTGGCCCCCAGCACAGGCCAACATGGGCATCAAATGTGGCAGCAATGCAAAAGCCTCCCTCAGGCCTGGGGGGGGGGGCAGAACTCTGGTTGCAGTGGCTGCAGTGGCCGGGGAGAGATCAAGCTTGCAGTCCTAAGGGATGGCGAGTCGGAACAAAATGATATATTTAACATCAAATATACTCAAGGACTATTAGGATTAAGTATTTAAGATGAAGGGGAAAGTGAAACCCTCTGAGCAGCGGATGAGGCATCTCATTAAAAGCAGCTACAGTTGTATTTCCTCAAAGCTAGACTTTGGAGAGAGGAAGATGGGCCGCAGCCCCTTCTTCTCCACTCCTGTCAAGAACTGGAGCCTCCTAGGATATAAGGGGCAAGACCTCACCTCCAGGTCTTCTTTGTACCAGATAACTCCCATTCCCTTTTGTCCAGAGCACCACAGTTGACAAAGCACAGTCTTACGCCTTATCTTATCAGATCCCCATAGCAACCTTAGACACTGAAAGAATAGGTTTCCTATTTCACAAATAGGGAAACTGAGGCTCAGAGAGAAAAGGGGACTTGCTAGGGTTTGATGTTTATTAATTGGCAATGAAAGGACAGAATCCTATCTGGTAGCCCTCCAGAGACCTCCATTTTCTTCTTGCCTGGGTCTTGACTTCAAAGACAACTACCAGGACCAAGATCAGGACATATCCCTCAGGAGACCACCTTGGGCTGGAGGGAAAAAAACCCCACAAACCATTATTTCCACTCCTCCTTGAAGTTCTGCGCTGTCTAGGGGAAAATACAAGCACTTGTATTTAAAGTAAGTGGCTTTCCTGGAGGAGACAGCCTCGGCACCAAACTTAGAGCGGAGAAGCAGGGTCCAGGAGAAAAGAAGATGGACGCTGTCTCCCTTCCTGCCTTATGAGCTACAGAACAAGAACGATCACTTTCCGCAAAAGAATCTTTATTCTGTTCTCAGCCCATCAGAATAATGCTTGGCATGTAATATGTGCTCAATAAATACTTGTGGAAGAAAAGCCTTGAATACCATGCTATACTTACTTAGAGAGAAACTGAGACAGTGCCCTCCCCTCCTCCTCCCGTCCCTTTCCACGAAATATAGGTGTTCTAGCCAGGAGCCTTCAGAGGTAGTGCCTTAAGACTCACGGTGGGAGGCTTCGTGTTCCACAGAGGGTTAACTTTGGCTCAACAGTCCTGAACTCCACCAGAAACCCCAGGCCCAGCTTGTAGGGGGGGGGGGGGGCGAGATCTGAGAAACCTCTCTCCCGTGAGGAAGCAGAAATCTAGCCTGAGGGGCTGGGAGTACCGGGACTCTGGGTCCTGGGACGGGAATGGAGTCCCGAGCTGAACTGTGGCTGCGAGGCCTCCAGATGGCGCTGCGGAGCCGACCAGCGGCGCGTCTCCACTCCCCATTAACCCGGGAGGGAGAGGGAGGGGGGGGGGCGGCTCGGGAAATGCGTGCATTTATTCAGTAGCAGGAGTGAAAACCTCATACATTGAGGGAGAAAGGCAGCGGGAGACGGCCGCCGAGATCCCCCCCCCTCATCTCTTTGAATATAATTTTAGATTGAGATTCAGATTAAATCCGAGGGGAAAACACTTTATGAGGCTGAAAGCTGTGTCGTTGCCAGAGCCAGGGTTATGAGCTATCAAATGCAATTACATTAAGACAGATTATACTGGGCAAATTGAGCCATTTAGAAGGTGAGAATCAAAGAAACGGCTCTGATCCTCTCTCTTCCCCCTTCTCTCTCCCTCTCCCTTCTCTCTAAATTGCAGTTCGTAGTTCCTTGCAATTCTGAGGCACAAAAGTAGGTGAGACTGCTTTTGTATCTGCGAAGTGCTTCACTCCTGAATGTAATTCTAGCTGAGTGCAATCTAGGTTAAGAGCCGGACAAGCGGGTAATTAGAGCCCCGCTCGCTGCCCGAGGACCGGCCGCCCGCCCCGCTGAAGCGCGCCCGGGAGTCGGCGCCTTTTTCCCTTCCCGGGCCGAGCCGAGAGCTGCGGCTGGACACGGAGCGCCCGAGATGATGGTGCTGGACAAGGAGGACGGTAGGTGGCGGGCGGGGAGGTGGAGGGGGGGGAGAACCGGCGCCCCCTCCCCACGCTCTCGCCCCCCGCCGCGGCGCGCGGGAACGCACACGGGGCGCACGCGCGCGCGCGCGCGGGTGTGCGGGGCTGTGTCCGGTGGTTAGCGGAGCTCCCCCGCGGGGGAGGGGGGGTGTCCCCGCTACAGGCCCCCCCGGGGGGAGGAACGGGCTGGGTGGATCGTGGATCGAGCTCCCCGAGGCCGCGCGCAATCCTTCCCCCCACCCCCCTCTCCGCGCCCTGGGGGCCCCGGGGAGCTGGGGAAGCGAGCTGGGGAAGCGGTGCGCGCAGGGCGGGGGAGGCGTGTGCTGCGCCGCCGCGGGGCCGCGTGCAGGCTCCGAGCTGCTCTCCGATCTCGCGCCGTGGCGCCTGGCGTGGAGCGTGTGGGCTCTGCGGCTGCTCCTCTCCCCGCAGCCGTCACCCTCCAGCCGGCCGCGGAACCCGAGAGGCGCTGAGCGCCACAGCAAATCAGCTTTGGAAGGGGAATCCGGGTTCCAAGAGCCCAGGGGCCCGGCCTGAGCGCGGGAGGACTGGCGCAGGAAGCCAGGATGCCCCCCCCTCGCCCCGCCCCGCAGGAGAAGGGAAGGCCATCTGGGTCGTCCAGGGGGCCGCTGCCCACGAGTGTGACTCGGTGAGAGCCACACCTTCCTGTGCTGGCCCCACTGCCTCTGTGCTTCCCTGTGTGTGGAGGTGGGAGTTTGGCCCAACAGAAGAAAGTGTCCCATCACAGGCTAGTAGCCACCCCAGCAGGAGGGGGGGGGGGGCGGTCCTCTGGGGAGAGTGGTGTGGACCTACTGTAGTTCAGTCTCTGCGCATCCTTAGAAGACCACAGGACCGAGTGGTCAGAACACAGGAATCTATCTATGGCTGCGGGGAGATACTAGCAGGTGGCCCCAGAGACCCCAAAATCGTCCTCTCTTGGGGAAGAATCTTGCAGTACGTGACCTAGAAAGTGGGGATCCAAGTCCCCTTGGGGGTAAAATGGTGTGTGTCCTGTGACCTAAGAGAGGATCCCAGAGTCTAGAGTGGCAGGTTCTCTGGCAGTCCCAGGCTCCTGGTACCTGTAGGTGAGGCGTGTGTGGTCTGTGGGTGCTGTAGGAAGGGCTGGAAGTGAGCGCTGGCAGCCACACTGCTGCTGGCATTTTTCTCTGATGCAGACCCAAAAGGTTATGGTGGCTGGGAGTCATGCAGCATGCCCAGGGCTAACTGTGGCGGCTGTCCTTCCCTAGATGGGGGTACCGTTTGCTTACCAGAGCCCTGGTGTTATTGATGTGGTCATTGGTTAAGTGGCTTGTTCAAGGTCATGCAGGGTTCACTTAGCTGTGTGATGCCTCAGCTTACCTATTCCTTCCTTCTGAAGCATCAGTGGGGCGGCAATCCTCAAAAGCCTCTAGCCTGCGGGCTGCAGGCGACATGCAGAGGAGGCCTGAGTTTGGTAGCCCACGATGGCCAACTCCTGGCCCATGTGTCAGAAGAGAGGAAGAAAGAGAAGTAAATGCATCTGGGCTGGCTGGGATGAGACATCCATGTTCAACATGTTCTTCTACATTCACGGACCCTTCCCTGGAGCCCAGAATGGGTCATCAGAGGACTGGGTTAGTGACATTTTTTAATAGAATAAAAATGAGAAGAAGTCTGGGGTCAAGCCAAACAGGGAGGGAAGAGGATTTGACTTAGCTCCTGAAAAAAAATGTGTTTTTTTTGGTGTGTGTGTGTGTGTGTGTGTGTGTGTGTGTGTGTGTGTGTGTGTGTGTGTGTGTGTGTGTGTGTGTGTGTGTGTGTGTGTGTGTTAGTACTGGAGCTTGAACTCAGGGCCTGGGTGCTGTCCTTTAGCTTTTTCACTTAAGGCTGGTGTTCTACCACTTAAGCCACAGCACCATTTGCAGCTTTTTGGTGATTAATTGGGGATAAGAGTCTCTCAGATTTATCTCTCCAGGCTGACTTCAAACCATGATCCGCAGAGCTCAGCCTCATGAGTAGCTAGGATGACAGGCGTGAGCCACTGGTGCCTGGCTTTGGCTTCTTTAATTTCTAACTGTCTGTGTTACCTCTGGCCAACCATGCTTATCTCTGGACTTCCCTTCTCTATAAAAATGAAGAGCTTGCAGAAGTCAGTATGTAAGGTCCTTCTCTGGTGTCTTGGGGGTGGTAGGGACCTTAAAAATCAGTGTGCTTCCTTCTTTAAGATTTTTTGGTATGCTTGGCTCCCTGGGCCTAGGCTAGGAATGAGCTACCCTGAGTTGTGTAGTTGGGAGCCCTCAAGAAGATGGGTGTCTTTCTGGAGGTATGGTACCCTTTTCTCCATCCAGGGTCTGGAGCTAGATCTCTGTCCAGATACCCCAAAGTTCATTGGGCTCCATGATAATGCTAAAGGTTGCACTTAAGTCCACGCTGCAGTGTACCTCGACCTCCTAGAATGTATGTTACTTTACCCCTTGTTCCTATCAGAACTGCAGAGGAGACTTCAAGAGGCCCCGTATGCTCCAGGGGTTCAATCTAAACAATACGACACCCACTTTTGACACTATTGAGCAGTGACAATTGCTTGGGCACATTCTTGTCCTGTCCAGCCTAGAGCTGCCCTTCAAAAGCAACTTTTCTGCTAAAACAAAAATGAAAACAACCCCAATAAAACAACAAAAAAACAAATCTACCCCTTGCTTCTTAATAAGAATCTGGCCTCCCTCGGTTACCGGAAACCTTGAAGATGGTACTTTCATTGGGAGATGAAGAAAAGCTCTGGTCTACTCACCTGCCCCTCCACACATACTACCTAACTTCCTGTGCACTGTGCCCTCTCAGCAGGTGGCCATCTAAGTTGGGTGGCAGCCTCAGTCCTGAAGGTCCTAAGGGATGTATCCTTCAGGATTCTCTCAACACTCTTTGTCTGGCTGTAGCAGGGACTCAGGGCTCCTATTAGCTACCCCCAATACCCTTTCTCCACCTGACAGCATCTTGTCAGGAGAGGCAGGGGCCCCTCTGGTTGAAGTCGCGTCTGCCAGCTGCTGAGGACCAAAGCTCCCGCTCGGCTGGGCTGCAGGGCTTTCATGTTGCACTTCTGAAAGATAATAAAATATCAATCGTTTTGCCGTAGCAACGGGTTTAAGAGACTTTCTGAAGTATTGAATCGTCAGAATTTTTTTTTCTTTTTTGCTTTTAAGCACAGTGCATTATTAATAAAGTAATCCATTAGGTCGAGTAGTGAAGGGTCACCACAGAGACAGAAAGATCTGTTTTGCAAACGGTTAAACTTCGGGTTTTAAGATTAATTGCTTTCATTTGGATGCTTGTTCTTGGCCTAGCCATCTTCCCTTTACTGGAACTCAGGGTCTGAGCTTTCTAAATGCTGCCGGGTCTGCCTGTCAGCGAAAGGGGAGCTGAGCTCCAACTTTCCCGGAGAAACAGCCCTTCTCCTGGCACCTGTGAGCTGTGGGGCTGCTGGTGGGGGGCAAAGGAGGCTGCTACCTGAACCCTGAAAGTCAAATTAGGGCTGTTGAGGAAGAAGCTTCTGAGTAGAGACAGAACAGCAAGACTGGGGTCTGAAATGAGAGGATGCTGAGGGCTGAGGTGCTGACATGGTCCTATGTACATGCTGGGGCAGGGATGCTTTGGGTATAAACCATCTCTGTCACGGCCCTGTGGGACGGCTGGAGTGACCACAGGAAGCAGAGGGCAGATCGCGGCACTCAACACCATACATAATTCGTAGGGCATTTTGTAATAAGTGAAAAAAATGCTTAAGGAGATTAAAGCTGGGCTGAGGAGGACCAGGCGGTGAAGTCTTCAATTGTTAATGACCAGTAGAAGCATGGCATCTGCAGCTGAATGGGTTCATTTGGCTATGCGTGACTCGATCAGCCTTTGCGTCTTCACTGGTAGGACCTCTGGCCCATCTCATCATGTTCTAGACTACAGAGTGCTGGGTGGCCTCTTCTGCTAGATGTGTCCCTGGGTCTCCCTTGGAAGCAGGGAGCTGGTCCTGATGCTGTACCATGCCAGAAACGAGGAGGCGGGGCCCAGTGTGCACTGCTGCCTGCTGGGAGCTAGTCAAGTCCTTGTATGGATGGCAGGGTGGGGGACCAGACCTGGCACTCACCCAGTGCCTATAAGGCAGGCTGCCTCCACCTGCACTTACCCTATTCAGCCCTAGCAGCAGCGCCTCCTCAATGTTAGAAATGAGGCAACACAGATCTTGAGCAGAAGAACAGCCACATCTTCTTCCTGCCCAAACTCAGCCAGGCAGTCTGTGAAGATGGGGCTCCTGCTCCCCCCCCCCCCCCCCCGGGCCTGCCCCATCTCCCTTGGAGCCCTGGGTAAAGAGGCAGATGTTTTTCTCAATTCCCTGCTCTTTCATTCATTTGCCCACACAGAGCACTAACAGGGGGTGGGGGGGACAAGGAAACAACATAAATTGGTCTGTCGTCCAGAATCCATGTCTCGCTAATGTACCCAGATTAACTCAACTGTAAATTGTCTCCTTGGATGGCGGTGTCTTGCTAAAAGTTTCCCGTATGATTCATGATTTGGATTGCTTTTAACGGCTATTGGCTAAGCAAGCCGGTGACTGTACAAGGTGATGCAATTGGCATTAGCGAGGGGAGGCACGGGAGCGTGTAATGCAGTCAATACTGCATTAACTACTGATGCCCAATTACAGGGAGCGGGAGAGAGCCTTTCAGGAGCATTAGGACTGGGGAAAGCTGAGATCACTGGCCGCTGCTGGCCTAAAAGCTTCACCCTTTGCTTGCCGGGGCTCAGTGCTGATGTGGCCACTCACTTACCCTCTGTGCCTGCAAGAACAGCCTTACTATCTTGCTATCTCCCTCTGAATGCGTCCCACAAAGATGCTTTTAGCACATGAAAATGTGCATTTTCCTAGAGCTGGTCCTGTCCCTCATCCTCCTGGGACTTGAATCCTTGCCCCAACCATTGTCCCTGAATTGGACCAGGTAACAGTCCAGTCA